GATCACCAGAGAGAGTTCGAGCGCCAGAAAAATACCCCAAACTCGACGGTTTTCACATGGCGGGCCCTGGGAGACACTTGGTTGACACTGTTTCGATACTGTTTTGGCAGTCTTTCGACGCTTGTCCGGGTGCTCGAAATTGTTTCTGGCATGGGGTCCTTAAGTACGAAGGGGACAACATAACCGTATGGGGGGCGCGTGGAACGGCAGGGCGGGGAAACGCGTGGAACCGTGGGGGACGTGGGGGGGGGGGGCGCGTGGAATTGCGGGGAACCGTTGGGCACTGTGTGGGGGGTTGCGTGTGTGTGTGTGTGTGTGTGTGTGTGTGTGTGTGTGTGTGTGTGTGTGTGTGTGTGTGTGCGTGTGCGTGTGTGCGTGTGTGCGTGCGTGTGTGTGTGTGGTGTGTGTGTTGTGTGTGGTGTGTGTGTGTGTGTGTGTGTGTGTGTGCGTGTGTGCGTGCGTGCGTGCGTGCGTGCGTGCGTGCGTGCGTGCGTGTGTGTGTGGTGGGGGGGGGAAGGCGCGTGGAACCGTGGGGAAGCGCTGTGGGCCCGCGGAGAAGCGCGTGGACCAGTGGGGGGCCGTGCACGAGCGCGTGGGCCCGTGGGGGGGCGCGCGTGGAGTTGTGGGGGGCCGCGGGGGAATGCGTGGATCACAGGGTACGGGTCTTGTCGCCCTTGGTTCGTGCGGCAGCTGGAATCACATTGCAGCGCGGTCCATACTGAACATCGTACTGCGCGCCAGGTTTGGGTGCCCGCCAGGTTGCAGCCAGATTGCGTGTTGTACCCTATTTGCCTGATTTACCAGATTGGCCAGGTTCGTTTGAGGGCCAGATAGCCAGACTTGAATGGTCGCCGCACTCCGCGCTCCCATCCCAAGTGGTGCGCCTTAATATTGTTAAAAGCGTTCGCCAAAGTGAAGAATCTGCCTGACTGCCTTTGAAGTTATATATGCGAGGTTGGGGCCTTTTTGCCAGATTGTAGAATTAGAAAATGCGTTTGTACGCCAGCTTTGATCAACGTGTCTCTTTCGCCCGACTGTCAAGTTGGCGCCATGTTACTGCCAGACTACTTTCGGCTACCCTGTTTAAGTATGAGTGTATGCGTGCTTGCAAACACGTGCGCTCGTGTGCATTCATACAAAATGGCGCGTCCATGTTAACTTGCCTATGTATTTACACGTATTTGCAATACGGCATTGGCGTTTCGCGTTGCGCACCTTGGTCTTTGAAGTTCGGGACGCAGGCATAAGGGGTAATAATGCACAGCAGCCATGTAGCACTGACTCATTGTTGCCTGTTGTCCGAACATCGTCTCTATACTTATGTTGCGCATTCTCATTCGTTCATGTTCCCTCTTCCTTTTTTTCCTGCTTGCCCGACCGTACAACTCGTCCAGCCTCCGCAGCTCTATTTGAGAAGGCTCGTCTTTGGAGGGTCTCTTGGGGGCCTCACGAAGGTTGTAACATGGATGTTTGGGGCCTTCTGCCGGTTTCCTGGGCGCCTTTTGGGGGCCTCTGGGGGCCTCCTTTGGCAACCCTGCTTCTAACTGTTGTCTCCCTGCAAGACCAGGTTACGATTTGGAATGCTTCGGAAGGCAGCTTGTGACAATCTTGCGCCGTCATGGGGCTCTCGTCGGGCCATATTGAGACGTTGTTAGGCCGTCTTGAGGCTCTCTTGTACTGTCTGGCAGACCTCTTGGGTAGTTGTTGGGCGACTTTCGGACCCCCCGTGCGATCTCGGACGTCCAGAAGACCTAAGAACAAAGCATTTCGCGAGTCATGCAACAACCAGTGGAAAGTGTTTTTCTTTTGCGTTTCGAAGGCCTCTTGAGGGTCTTCTTTGAGTCGTTTTCGTGCGTCTGGTGGGTGTGTGGGGTATGTAGGGGCCCTCGCGAGGTTGTTTGGCCGCCGTCCTGACTGATTCGGGCCCGCTGCCCAGGGCCCGCAGGGGCTTCCGGGAGACTGGAAAGCCCAGGGGACATTTTGCTGTGGCGTTCAGGGCCCCCCCAGGGCCTCGATCCTGCGGGGCCCGTTTTGGGGGGGGCGGCCGGTCCTCAGCCTCCGGTATTGTAACACAGATAATCAAGGGAGTCTACATCGATGCATGAATGTATGTGTGTATGTCTGTGTGTATTTGTCTGCGTATGCGTATACGTATGTGTATATGGACGTGTATGTGCATGTGCATGTGAATGTGTATGTGTATATGAATGTGTACATATGTACGTGCATATTTATGTATGCACGTGTGTATGTACGTATGCGTGCATGTATGCATGCATGCATGTATGTATGTATGCATGTATGTGTGTACGTATGTATGTATGTACGTGGTGTGTGTATGTGTTTGCGTGTGGGTCTGACTGTTTGTATGGATGGATGCAAGTAGCCATGTGTGTATATATATATATATGTAGATCTGCATGTACGAGTGCCTATTTGTCTGAAGATATGCGTGGGTGTATGTGTGTCTGTATGTATGCAAGTAGGATTGCAGGTGTGTGTCTATGCATGTAACTATGTATGTATGTATGTATGTATGTATGTATGTATGTATGTATGTATGTATGTGTATGCATGTATGCATGTGTATGCATGTATGCATGTATGTGTACATGTATGGATGCATGCATGCATGTATGCATGCATGCATGTATGCAGGTGTATGGAGTGTCTAGCTGTGTGTACGTAGTTGTTCACACGTATGTGTATAGTGCTAATCATGTGTATGTGCATGTGTAAATCTATACATATATATGTAGTTGTTTGTACATGTATACGTGTGTGTATGTGTATATATATATATGTGTGTGTGTGCATGGGTATGTGTATGCGTACAGGTAAAGGTGCACACATACGTGTTTAAGTATCATTATACGTATATGTGTTCGCACATGTGTACGTACGTGTACATGTGTGTATGTATGCATGCATGTATGTATGTATGCATGCATGTATGTATGCATGCATGCATGCATGCATGCATGTATGTATGTATGTATGTATGTATGTATGCATGTATGTATGTATGTATGTATGTATGTATGTATGTATGCCGGTCTTAATGTGAGGATGTACGCATGCATGCATGCATGCACGCATGTATGTATGCATATAGGTTTGTGTGTAGTTTTACACAGGTAAATGTATACCTGTGTGCCTGTGTATGTGCGTATGTATGATGTAGTGGCCTTCGGCCCATCCCGTCACCGTGCTTGGGATCTGGGCTATAGGCCTCTTGGATGCCCGTCGGGTTCTTTTCGGGGACGTCTCGGAGGCCTCTCGAGGGAGCTCTGGGCCTTCGTGCCTCTTGTAGGTCTCTTCAGGGCCTCTTGATGCCTCTTTGATGCTTCTGGGGAGCTTCGGAGGGCAGTCTTTGGGGACAAGGCCCCCGAGGCCCCTTCGAGTTCCCCCTTCGGGGGCCCTCTTGGGTGCCTCTTGGGTCGTCTGGGTGGTCTCTTGCGCCGTCTTGGAGCTCTCTTGGGTCCTCGTGGGCGCTTGTGCAGCGATCCTGGGAGCTTCATGGGCAGTCATTGGTTGGCTGAAGCTCGAAACATCGAGAACGCTCAAGTCATTCATCGTTAAATCAAGTATTTGAGCATCTTGGCGTTCTCTGGGGGGTTCTCTTTTGGCCCTCCTGGGGCGTCTTGGACGCCTCTTGAGCAGCCTTGAGGCCATCACGGGCGTCTTAGTCAGAAGCCAGGCGAAGGTTGGCAACCCGTGGCTGCTAAAACGGAGCTCCGGGAATTTGTGTTTTTCCTCCGGGAAGCAGCCCGTTGACGCTTTGGCGCGCCGAGATTTATGCCAGGAGTGCTTATTTTTTTTCTTCTTCCGGGAAGGCCGTTTTGGCAGCCACGGACGTGCCAACCCTCGCCCAGCTTCCGACTTAGAGCGCCCTTGTCGCAAGCCCAGAGGTTGACACCAGCACCAAGATCGGCGGTGTTCCTCCACCGAGGGAAGGAGATCCCGATCTCGGCGATGGTGGTAGTATTCTGGCTTCCAAGGTGGCCGAAGCATCATCACCAACGCCGAAATCTAGGATCATCTCCCCCCTGTGGAGGCAGCCCCCTTTCGGATGCAACTCCTGGGAGGTCAAATTCTGATTTTGCCCTGGTCCGAAATCCAGCTTAATCCAGCTTAATCTCGCTTAATCCAGCTTGATCCCGCCTGATCCCGCTTAATCCCGCTTAGTCCTGCTTAATCCGGCTTGATCCCGCTTGATCCGAGGCCCACTCTGGCATAACAGCCCCCCAATGAGGCTTCATCCTCCTGAATCCTCCCGACAACCTCCCAGTAGTTGCCTCCTGACCCCCTGTCTTGGTGTTGGTGTCCATTTCCAGGCCTCCAACCCCTGGCCCGTCTCGGGACCACACCGCACCGTCTCGGGGGCCTCTGGGGACCCTTCTTGTGTCCCGTGCCGTGGCGCCCTCTGGCCTCTGGGAAAAGCTCGTGCGGGCGGCCCCCGGGAGTCCCGCGGCAGCGCGCGGGGCGTCCCCGAGGAAGCCGGCAGCGCGGTCTCCGGGCCCTTCCAGGGCAATCCGCTCAGTGACCACGGCATGGTGGTCGATGTCTCTCTATTTTTCTTTCTCTCTCTCTCTCTCTGTTTATCTGTTTGTGTTTGTTTGTTTGTTTGTTTCTTTCTTTGTTTGTTTGTTTGTTTGTTTGTTTGTTTGTTTTTCCCTCTCTCTTTTTTGTTTTTCGCTCTCTCTCTCTCTCTCTCCCTACCTACCTACATCCCTACATACCTACCTACCTACCTACCGACCTACCTACCTACCTACCTACCTAACTACATACATACATACATACATACATACGTACATTTGAACACATGCCCATGTATTTGCATATATCCATATGTGCACGTCGAGGTGTGCACTGTTTACGCCCGCGCGCGCAGACCTTCCAGGGTCAAGGTCAAGAGGGTCCATACACCAGTCGAGAGGTCTTGATCGGCCGCGGCCAGGGCTGCTGGTGGTGTATCGTCTCTGGCTTCCCGTCAGGAGGCGGAGTTTGGCCCCTCCCGCCAAGACAAGAACAAGGAGCTCGGCGACGAGACGAAGAACCCGCTCCTGAAGGTCACGGGGGAGCTGTACGTCACGGCCACGTGGAAGTACCCTATCCTCCGAGAGGATGTCGGGCGTCGCGCAATTGGGGGCGACCTCTGGGGGGGGCAGCGAGGGCAGGGCAGGGGCTCCTCGAGGGTCCCGCAAGGAGCCCTTCAGGGCCCCACAGGGGGCCTTCGGCGCCCGAAGAGTGCAACTTTCCTTCCCCCCCCCTCCAGCTATCGCCCCCCCCCCCACAGAAGCGACGCCCAAGGACGAGGAGGGGGCGGCCGCCCAGGAGGACGAGACGGAGAAGGCCAGGGCCGAGCGAGCCGTGAGGGAGCACACGGGGCTCCTCACGCTCAAGATCGAGCGCGCCCGAGGCCTTCGCCGCGCGGACGGGAGGCGGCTCCGGGCGTGCGACCCCCAGGTGCCCGCACCGCCCCGCGAGCGGAGCGCAGCGCCGTGCCTCGCGAGTGCAGCGCCGGAGCTGCCCGAGACTCCAATGCACAGGAGGGGCCCCCAGAGGTCCGGCGCTCCAGAGAGAGCTTCAAACATAAAAATATAAATTTTGGCAATAAATTTTTAAGATCAAAACGAGATAAAGATATAGTAATCAGTCAAAATTTAAAAAATAGGAAGAGAGCTGGAGCGGGCGATCTTTGGTTGTCTTCGGCCTCGAAGGGGCCTGCGGCCAGGCCCCAGGGCCGTCAAGCAAGGGACGCGGGGCGGAGAGCCGGCCCCCTGGGGAGCGGCCCGGACCTCCGGGGAACCACGCCCCCGAGAACAGAGGGGCCGCCGGCTGGCTGGGGGGAGGGAGGGGGTACCCCCTCCCTCCCCCCAGCCAGCCGGCGGCCTCCCTCCCCCCCCTCCCCTCCCCCCCTCCCTCCCTCCCTCCCCTCCCTCCCTCCCTCCCTCCCCCTCCCTCCCCTGGTCCTCCCTTCCCTCCCCCACGTGGGGGAGGGAAGGGAGGACCAGGGGCAACGTCAGGGGTGGGGCTGGGCAGGTTAATAGCTTCGGGGGGAGGGGTGTTGACGCCCCGTCGCCCACCTCCTGCCGGGAGTGGGGGGGCCCGGCAGCCCCGCCCCGCCCAGGGCCGCGCGGTCTCGCCAGCGACGGCGGGCCTCGCCGGCGGCGGGCCGGGGGAAGGGGCGCCGTGTCTCTCGTCTTCCGCGGCGGAAGGCGGCGAAAGGTGGGAGGGAGCCGGCGGGAGCGGAGCGAGGCTGCCTCGGGCCTCTGCCGGCAGGAGCCAGAGGAGACCGGAGGAAGCAAGAGACGTGCCCTGCGTAGCCCCGCGAGTCCTCGGGGCTGGGGGGGCGGGCAGTGGCAGCTGCAGATCCGCGCCTCGGGGGCGCAGGCTGGAGCTAACCCGGACCGCAGCTCGCCCAGATAGGTCGGGCGTCCAAGACCCCGTTTCTTTATTGCTTGGGGCATATGACGGGCGGCATGGCCCCCGCTCCCCCCCCCCTATGACGTAACGCATCCCCCCCAGTGTGCTCCGGGCACTGCCGCCGTGCGCATTGGGGTCCGCGTAGGTGTCCGCGTAGGAATCCGCATAGGAGTTTGTCCGCAGTCGTCGTCGTCGTCGTCGTCGTCGTCGTCGTCGTCGTCGTCGTCGTCGTCGTCGTCGTCGTCGTCGTTGTCGTCGTCGTCGTCGTCGTCGTCGTCGCCTCGTAGGAATCCGCATAGGAGTCTGTCCGCAGTCGTCGTCGTCGTCGTCGTCGTCATCGTCGTCGTCGTCGTCGTCGTCGTCGCCCGTGGCGCTCGTCGCTCATAGTCGTCGTGCGCGCGGACGCGGCTGAAGCCTGTTTTTTATTCCGGGCCGATGGCGGCACTCATCTAGGGGGGGTGGAGGGAGTCGACGACGTCACGTTTCGCGCCGGCGGCGTATGGGAATGCCTAGGAATGACGAAGGACGGGTAGCGCCAGCATGTAGGTGGCGATTTGCACCACAATGCCTGTGTACACCACAGTGCTCGTGTGCACCACAGCGCCTGTGTACACCACGCCGCCTATGTACACCACACCAACCGCGTGCAACACAGCGTCAGTTTTGTGCCACCGTGCCTGCGGGCACAACAGCTCTTGTGCACACCACAGCGCCTGCGTACACCACATCAGCCGTGTGCATCACAGCACCAGTGTACACCACAATGCCTGCGTGAATTGCAGTGCCTGTGTGCACCACGGCGCCTGTGTGCACCACAGCAACCGTGTGCAACACAGCACCACTGTTTTACATAGAATGTTCGAATAAATCCGTGAGACAAAATGGAGCGCTTGTGGATTCCACAGAAAACAATATAACATAATCCTTATGGACCACGGAGCGCCGCTGGAATCTACGAGTCCTCCCGAGTCCGCCCGCATCACCCTAACTCCTCCCATCTGCGTCCAGGAGGCTCCAGGTAAATTGGCCGTCCGAGAAATAAGTGGACCGATTCAATAAACCATTATGCGGTGCGCGCTGAAATTCGCACGTGCGCTGTAGCGCCAACCCGCACGACAGCGGGTAAGGAGGAGGAGGGGGAGGAAGAGGAGGAGGAGGAGGAGGAGGAGGAAAAGGAGGAGAAGTAGGAGGAGGAGGAGGTGGTGAAGGTGGAGGGGGAGGGAGGAGGGAAGAACGTCGCATTCGATTATCAGCACTTTCCTGGCGTGGCGTCTAGTTGTCCGCAGCAGATCCTCACGTACTTGCTCCTTCTACCTGTCTTATGCACGCAGGCACTGTGGTGTACACCAGCGCTGGGTTGCACGCGGATGTTGTGGTGTAGACACGCGCTGTGGCGTGCACAGGCTCTGCGGTGCACGCAAGCACTGTGGTGTACACAGGCGCTGCGTTGCACATGGTAGCTGCGGTGTGCACATGTACACCGGCGCTGTAGTGTACGCAAGCACTGTGGTGTACACAGGCGCTGCGTTGCACACGGTTGTTGCGGTGAACGCAGGCGCTGTGGTATACACGCGCGCGCGCGCTGTGTTGCACGCGAGCGTTGTGGCGTACACAGGCGCAGTGGGGCATATCGCCACCTACATGCTGCTCGCGTCGTCGTCGTCGTCGTCTCTCGTCGCTCGTCGCTCGTCGCGTCGCGCGCGCGGGCGCGGCTGCGGTGCCGGAACCACACGGCGGGGGGGGCGTTACGTCATACCCCCTTCTCGCCCCCCCTCCCCCCCATGACGCCCGTCATCGCCGAACATAAAGAAACGCTCTCCAATAAGAGATGGCGAGCTTTTTGGGGCCAAGGTTTCCGGAGTCGGCGATGAACGACCACCACGCCCATACCCATAGGGGGTCGGGAGGGAGGAGGATTTCGCAAAGATATGGGTGCGTGTTGTTCGTTCAGCATGTAGGCCCAATGGCCCCATGCGAGGCCCGGAAGGGCGCGGGATGCCAAAACGTTGCTCGTGAAATGGGGGGCACCACTTGCCAGTGACACGTATTAGCACCCCACGCGCGAGCCCCCTGCAGACAATCCACCTATTGGGGGGCGCATGCTGACAACATGGCGCCAGCGCCGTTGTGTCAGCTGTGAGGCACCCCCGATCCTACAGGTGCGCGTGTGGCAGCGCAACGACGTCCGGCAGCTGTGGAGGAAGAGGCCGCTCATGAAGACTAAGGTGATCAGCAACAACGCCGATCCCGAGTGGCACTTCGAGGAGTCGAAGGAGATCATGACCGGCGAATACGAGAGCCGGTTTCCTCCACCCGAGGAGGGCTGGACCGCGGAATTGACGAAGATGACACGAACCAGGAAGCAGCAGCGGATCATCGATGACGAAAAGAACGCCCAGGCCGTCAAGATGTACGGGAGCGGCTTGAAGGTAGTTTTCCATGATGCCGCCGGGCCGCCGCCGAATCAGGATGTGGATGCTGCGGGGGGAAACCATAAAGTCCAGGTGCTCCTGACCGACACCATCCATGACTTCAAGGACAAGCTGACGTTGGCATGCAAACGGGAGGCTCAGCACTGGAGAAGCTTGGAAGACGAGCAGGCCGAGAAGCACGCAGCCGCGTTCTCCGACATCGACATTGGCCCCAATCATCTCGTAATGGTTTGGATCCCATCGGCAGCAGTTCAGCGACTTGCGGCCCAGAAGATGGACAAATCAGAAGAGTATGCACGGGCGCACCGCCAGTCTGAGAAGGATCCCTCCTGCTGGAAGCCTTTGGATCCTGCTCGAACGTTCGCCCACTACCCAAAGCATTTCGGAACGAACTTGAGGGGGGAAGTGCCGCAGGGAATCAAGCTCCGCGTGGTGGAGGCAACGGAGGCGTATAGAAATGCAAATCTTCGATACAAGGTGTACATGGAAGAGATGGAAAAGGTACACTACCCAGACGTTAACACGAATGACAAGTGTTTCGGTTGGGCCAAGTACTGGCACAAGGCCGACGGTGAGAATTCGACCGAGTGGAGGCCTGCCTTCATCAGCAGCGTCGATCTGCCTGACACGTCTCCCCGATACAAGGTCCGCTGGATCCTGGATCAGAATGCCAGTGACGAAGATGCAGCCAAAGCAGCGGCTGCTCCCCCGGGTGCCAGCACCCTGCATCGCGGGAGCGAGGTGCTTCTTGCACCGAGGAACCCGAAGCTGGGCGTGCGCCAGCATCCTGCTCACAAGGAGTTCTTGGTGCAGGTCAAGCTCCTGCGCGAGTCCAGAAAGTCGGACTTCGAGATCAAGGACGTGCTGAACAAGCTGCTCCTGGACAAGTGGAGGACCGACGACAAGTTCAAGGAGGCCTACGGTGACAAGGAGCCCGGGGTGCCCGGCGGCATCCCTCTGATCACGGTCGAGAACATCCGGGCACACCTGCAAAGGCAGGACGAGGCCTCACAGGGGCCATCTGCCAAGACCTGAGGCCGCCTGGCCCACACACCTGCTCGCGGGGCGGGGGCGTGCCGGGGGGAGTGCTCTGCGATCCGAGGAGCGGGCGCCTTCCATCTCGCGCTGCCTCGAGGGCCCCCTGTAGTTACTGGGCGTGCGCGCTGTGTTGTTGCTCTGTTGCTCTGCTCCTCTGCATGCGGGCTGCCACGAGCAGCCCCCAACGCGAGTGACGAGCAGGGAGCTTGCGTGAGATGCAGCCTTTCCCTTTCTCAATTAACTGCACAAAGTGCTCGCCCTCGCTGTCCGACGAGGCATCGGGCGGCCGTTGACTGCTGTCGCCATCCGCGCGCGTCCAAAGTTCGGGCTAGTTGTGTACGTACCCGCATTTTCGATCGAGTGAGGGAGGGAGGGAGTTAGAGAGAGGTTGTAAGCCACTCGAGCTTCTGATCGAACCGTACCCCGAAAGAGTACCATGCGTCGTCGCCACGAAGGCAGGTGTGTCCTGGCGAAAAGGAGTGTTGAGGCTCTTCGCCGTTCTCAGCCTCCCAGGGCCCTTTCCGGGGCCAGTCGGCCATCAAAGACGACCCAGGATTGCCAGCCAGTCCCTGGGGAAGCCCCTTGGTCCAGGACCCGCTTCCCTGAGGACCCCCATTCCCTATTGCCAATGGTCGAGAGTTCGGGTCTACTTCCCCTACCTGGCAGGTTGGTCTGGGAAACATAAGACTCGAGTTCGCCCGGACTCGGGTTCGCCGACGCTTTTTGACTAGCCCGTCCTGGATTTTGACGGTCCACGTTTCGCGGGTTGTTTGCAGCGGGGGCTCGCGTCAAATTTCAGGCCAGACGTCCAAAGGGTACGCATTCATTCTGGGAGTCAACATGGGTGTTCTGGTAAGAGTTGGTATCCGTTTATTTTCTGGGATTTGGGAGTTGCGTTGTGTTGCAGCAACAACAACTCACAACAACACATATCACCTCAAAGCAACAATGTACATCCAAAACAACAACATCTATTCACAACGCATACCCGATTGTGCGAGACGCTTCTTTTGGAAACGTCGCCCGCGGAGCCACCGGGACCCCGCGCCCGCGGAGGAGGAATCGGGCCCCAGCGGTTCGGCAGCGGCGGGGGAGGGCAAACTGAATCGTTCGGCCACGCTCTCTCTCCCCATGGGTTCGGGGCCACCCCGAACTCCCGAAGGCACGAAACGCGTCCATGGGAAGCGTCGCCCACGGAAGTTTGGTGATCCCGCGCCCTCAAGAAAAGAGGCGGGAGCCTTTCAGGAGCCTCTCAAGAGCCTCTGAGGAGTCTCTAATGAGCCTCTAAGTACTCTAAGTAGCCAGTAAGGAGCCCCTAAGGAGCCTACAGGGAGCCTTTAAGGAGCCTCTACGGAGCCTCTAGAGCCTCTAAGGAGCCTGTGAGGCGCGCCTAAGGAGCTTCTCAGGAGCTTCGGAGGAGTCTCGAAGCCTCCAAGGAACCTCTAAGGAGCCACTGCAGAGCCTCAAATGAGCCTGTGAGGAGCCTCCAAGGAGCTTCTGAGGAGCCTCTACGGAGCCTCTAAGGAGCCCCTAAGGAGCCTTTGACAAGCGTCTAAGGAGCCTCCAAGGAGCCTCTAAGGCGCGTCGGAGGAGCTTCTAAGGAGCCTGGAAGGAGTCTCGAAGGAGCTTCTGAGGAGCCTCTCAGGAACCTTTAAGGAGAATTTCATGAGCCTCTAACGAGCCTCGGAGGAGCCTCTAAGGCGCGTCTAAAGAGCCTCTTGCTTAAGTAGCTAGCAGGGGGGCCTTTAAGTAGCCTCTAGGGAGCCTCTACGGAGCCTTTTCAGTAGCACACTGGGAGCTTGTAAGGAGCCTCTCAGGCGCGTCTACGGATAAGGAGCTTCTAAGGAACCTGTTAGGAGTCTCTAAGGAGCCTCCAAGGAGCTTCTAAGGAGCCTCCGAGAAACCTTTAAGGAGCCTCTCACGAGCCCTTCAGGGGCCTCCAAGGAGCCTCCAGAGAGCTTCTAAGGAGCCTCTAAGGAGCCTTTTCAGGAGCCTCTGAGGAACCTCCACGGGGCCTCCGAGGAGCCTTTTAAGGAGTTGCTAATGAGCTCCGTAGAGGCTCATTAGCGACGCCTTATACCAAGCCCCCATCCGCCAAGCCCCCGTCCTCATCCGCCAAGCCCCCCCCGCCATCCGCCAAGCCCCCCTCCTCTTTTTTTCCCTCTGTGCCCACTTTTCCTCCCCCGTTTCCTCCTCCACCCACTTCCCGTCCCCCTCTCCAAGGGCGCCCTCGAGGGCGCGAAATTATTTACGATTCGCGCTTCGTGGTTCGGCTCCGATTCCTCCTGATCTTCCTCTTGTCCCCTTTGGGGGGCGGCGCGAGAGCGCGAAGTTATTCGCGCAGCGCGAAGCGCGAAGTTAGGCGCCCTTGCCTCTCCCATCCCTCCACCCTCATCCCCCTCCTCCTCCGTGTTATCTTCCTCTCCCTCGCCCCCCTGGCCCGTCCTCCTCTGCCCACCTCGTCTGCTCCTCACCCTCCCCACCTTCTCCTGCAAGTCCCCCTTCCCCTCTCCTGCATGCCCCCCCCTGTATTCTCCCGTCCCCCGCCCCTCCCCCTTCCCTCCCCCCTCCCCACCTCCCCCTTCCCCTCCCCCTCTC